TTATAACACCCCATGGCCATATATATATATATACATGATGAAAGAGACGTGTCAAATTGGCATTTTGCCGATTCAAAATAAATTTCTGCCTCACTTTGCACTAGAATATTGTTGTACAAAACAATCATTAATTTGATAGCCATTGGTAATCTTATACTCTTGTACCTCTAACAAGTGAAGTGACACATACAGTTAAGTCGTTGTACAGTAAAAAGCATTTGAGTATCCACGTGCTTCATTGCCTAAATGTAGTTGTTTACATTCTGTCCACCATCACGTGCTTGATTATCTTGATATAGTCGTATATCTAAAACCCAATCCCCAGAATTGACCATAGTTAACGTATGTTAACCTATATCTAATAGTAAAGTCACTAGTCACTGTTGTATTTAGTATTTTTATTATTTATAATCAATGTCAGGAACTAATGTTTATTTTCATAAACAAAGTTCAGTAGTTTAAATAATCTTGTGAAAATGTATAGGAAGGAAACCCACAAAATGGTAGTTAGTATTTTCCTACACTGAAAATGTATTTCCATAGTTACTTACCTCCTCTTATAAAATAGCTTTTTCTGTGTTTTTCTATCCGCGAAAATTTTCAACGCTCCACCACTAGCTTTCTACTTACCGATTCTGCATATCCACATGCAAATGACCATGCAGCAGCTCTCCTATCGTCACCAGCGTCCTTTTAACAGTTGCACCTGTTAATCACTTCGAGATTGGTCAGAGTACCTACACTATATATCATCGGAAGTGGAGAGGCTGGGTTGGAAATGTGAGAGAGGTAAGTTTCTATCGGAAATACATTTGCAGTGTAGGAAAATGCTAATTGTCGGTACTATAATTATCGCCTCTCACAAAATAGCTAGAATCCCACATTGAACTGATGGAGTACCAGTAAAAAATTAACCCATTTTAGAAAGCGCCCAAAGAGAGACCAGGGGTGTGAAATCAAAATAGAACATATCGCACCTCAGTGGGAGACCGCACCAGATTTGATCCAGGTATACTCTTCGCTCTTTTCTGACTGTGTCGTGAACATAAAAGGCAGAAAAACATGAATAAATCCAAAATATGTATGACCGATTAGAATCCAAATTCCGTCTCCACTTGCGCGAATTTTCAATACAATCAACATCAGGTCCACCTGGAACCAACATACAGTAGACAGTAGGAAAAGGGACCACAAACCTAGAGTGCATCTCCAGTTCAAATCCTGATGTCAGTTGGCATTTGTCATCTAGTCTGTTGTGGGAGGAGGGATACCGGCCAGCACACATGTGAGGATTTATGTAGCTGGACCATCTCCAACCAACACTGGACCCATCGGAAATGTACATCAGGAGGATGGTAGGTAGGAGGAATGTCTCAGCCCAAGGAGCAAACTGCAATGATATATATTTGTAACACGACGGAGTGCTTCAACCATAACCTGGCGGCATCTGGAATTCTCCATCGGGTCCGCGATAGGAATGGCATCATGCTATCGACAGACGATTTTAATCGTGACTGGGCCATCTCCAACCAATACCAGACCTATCTGGAATGGACCTCTGGAGGATGGTAGGAAGGAGGAATGCCACAGTAGGAAAAAGCAATTGGTCAAATATATAGTCAGTAATACAGCATAGTGCTACAACCAAAACCTGGCGGCATCTGGAATTGTACATCAGGTCTGTGGTAGGAAGTGCTATACGCCATCGAAACCTACAGAATGCCTCCCCCCGGTGGCACAACGGTATGTCTGCGGACTTACAACGCTAGAAACCGGGTTTCGATACCCGTGGTGGGCAGAGCACATACAGCCATTGTGTAACTTTGTGCTTAATAACAAACAAATAAACCTACAGAATGCGACCACACAACTCTCAACTGAGTGGTATGATTCATCACTCAGTAGGATAGGCCTCCATGGTCCACCACCCCAGTGGCTAGGAACTGAGAAGTGACAGTGACTCTCATACTCCACTAGAAGAAAGAAGGGAAAAACGCGTTAGAGAGCCCGGAGGACCGCATCACTGGAGATAGAGCAATGGGTGACCACGATAACTTATTTTGAAAAGCAGAGCTACCACGTCGACAAAGTCGATCAACCAAAACTTACTGGTATCTGGATTTATACATCAGGTCTGCGGTAAGAAGAGTCTCAATGCTGTGGAGCATCAGAGATTGGCAGCAATCTCTGTCTGCTTTACTCATGTTAGTCTATGAGTGTATGGTCCGGAACGAAAAAACAAAACCACTAGAGAGAACTACCAGTAGTCCTACAGAACACCCCATCTCTATGGTGTGCATATCCCAATCCTCTGACGTAATTGTTTAGGCATACATGACAATAGAATGGGGACATACAACCAACACCTGTTGGCATCTGGAACTATAAATCAGGTCCGCGGTAGTAAGGACTATGATGCAACTGACATTG